ACACAGTCCGCCCGAGGGACCCCCCCTTTCCCACCTCCCGAGTGCACAAATTTTTGTTCACCGGGCCTCTAGTCCTATATAATAAAAGGCTAATATGCAAATTGTCCCCTCAATGGGGAGTTTGACTGGGAGTTCAACTGGGATTTCAACGAAGGGGCGCGGCAGGCTGGCCAACTGCTTGCGGCCCCTCCCCCAGCTGGCCCCACCCCAAATCAGCCCTCCCACACCTATCAGCGATGGGGACGGCCAGACCCCACCCATGCACAAATTCATTTACCGGGCCTCTAGTAATAAATAAATGGGTTACTGTCTAAAAGGTAAAGAAATAATGCCCTAGTCAGTTTTCTCAGTGTTTAGAGCACCAGCCTGCAGACTGAAGGGTCACAGGTTCAATTCTGGTCCAGGGGACAAACCTAGGTTGAAGGTAGATCCCCAGCCCCCGCATTGGGGTGGGTACAGGAGACAACCAATTGATGTGTCTCTCGTATTGAGGTTTCTCTCGCTCTGTCTCTCCCACTCCCTTCCACTCTCTTTAATAAATAAATACTGTGTAACAATGTGTCTACCATAGACAAACAAGAAGATCTGTGGGGAAAAATGAAGATACTTGCATAAAAAAGTTGACATTGAAAACTTTTTCTTTAAAACGAATTTTTTTACATGTAAAAAACTTTCACAAAAATGAATGCAGGAAAAAAGTCAACTGTGTGATAATCAGGGATTGTGTAAGTAAGTGCTTCTCAACGGTGTGCATGTTCTCGGCTCTTTAAAGAATGTTCTGCTGGGGACCGGCTGCCTTACAAGTAGTCACAATGTGAGCAAGTGGAGAGATGGGAAGAGATGTATAACATATTGAAAAGCCACAGTGTGGCTACTATTCTATATTCTTTTGATTTGATTGTTTTATATACAATTTTGTTTCCAATAAGTCAGTCTACATCCTGTGAGAAAATTATGCTTCTTTGATCCCTAACAGCAGGCTTGGTCACTTGACTTGTGGGAGTAACATGCTACATCCAAGCAGACTCCACACGATTCTGCCAGCGTTCTTTCCCCTCAAGTATGAAAACACCATGTCCAAGGTAGGCGCTGACCTTCAGCCTGGACCCCAGGATGAAGAAGACAGAGGAAACTGAGTCCCAACTGACCTATATCCAATATGTACCACGTGAAGAAATAACAGGTGAGAAATAAACTGTTCTTATTGTAAGGCACCCATATTTCATGGTTGGTTGTTACTACAGATGACTAACAAACACTGACTAGCATACCCTGAAAGTAGAATGTAATGGCAAAAAAATTTATAAATCAAGAATTGAATAAATCAGAAATACTTGTATGTACTTAAAAAATAAATATATGCTTCAAAAATAGTTGCAAAGGAAAAAGCTTTCTCTAACTAAAAATAGACAAAAGATGAGCATTATAACAAAATGTAATTTCACTCACTAAAATATACCTGCATTCTATAATTATATTTATAAACATGAAAAAAGATAAAATAATTTCCTTTTCAGTATATTTCTTCAATGTTATGATATGTGATATGGTATATAAGTACTTATTAACCATTTTAACTATTATTGGTAGTCATATTTTTAAATTGTTATTCATAAGTATAAAAAATAATTTAAAAATTTAATGATTAAAAAAAAGAATCCTGTGCCAGTGGTAACACAGGAACAAATGCTTATTCAACTGATGAAATAAATTCAAATTAAAGCCCTACAGGGATTTCACTTTAACTTAATAAGGTAGCAAAAGTTAAAAGCAAGCTTGTTAAAATTCAAAACAGCAAAGCCAAAGGTTTTAAAACATTCATTAGTAAATGTTTTAATTATTGCTGTTTTACAACTTTAGTAATAAAAAGAACTTTGAAAAATTCAGCATGACCACCTAGTCATACCTTGTATATTTGATCGCCATCTTCTGGTTCTGGACTAGATGGCAATGATAGCTGGATATCATGCAATGATCCACTCCCATCATGCTGTCAGAAGGAAGAGAAGGAAAAGAGAGATTAATACATAACTGCGGGCATTCAGTTGACCTTAATTCACCCCAGACAAAATGCTAGCATGGCAAAGAACAAATAGAAAACAAGTTGTAGAAATCTCCCTTTCATCTCTATGCACTTGTAGAAGGAAATGTGGAAGAACACACCTGGACAGGTGGCTCCATTGGTTGGAGTGTCATCCCATACATCAGGGCACATACCTAGGTTGTGGGTTAGATCCCCGGTCAGGGAGCTCTCTCTCTCTCTCGCTCTCTCTCTCTCTCATTTCCTCTCTCTAAAATCAATAAAAACATATCCTTGGGTAAGCAATAAAAGGAACAAAAAAATGTGGAAGAAGAAAAAAAAGAGCTAGGGCAAGAAAAATTTGTAGAAATAAATAACATAATATACTAGAGGCCCAGTGCATGAAAATTCATGCACTTGCGGGGGTGGGGGGGCGGCGGTTCCTCAGCCTGGTCTGCTGCTCTCTCGCAGTCTGGCCTCCCTCTGCAGGAGGTGACCTGGCAGGCTGATCAGGGGATGGCGCTGGCTGGCGAGCAGCAGCTCCACCCCTCCATCCCACATCCTCTCCACTGCTGTCTCCTCCCTCTGCTGGCTGGCATGCGCCTTGGCTGGCCTGGTGCCACCTGCTTGCCAGCCGCACCCCCCGCTGACCACTCATTTCGCTGTTCAGTCGATTTGCATATTACACTTTTATTATATAAGATGAGTAGGCGAAGCAGAACACCTCTGAAACTTTTAGAATGGGAAAAGAAATATTAAAATTTTCTAAAGAATTTTAAGATTCTCTCACCTATGAAAAATGTAAAATAAAAGTCAAATTAAATCTGCTTTGGTTTAGCTGTGGTGTTCGGGGGTATAAATGAGACAGAAACAGTAATATTAAGTAACTCAGCAAGGATTGGCCATAAAAACCATTTGATTAAAAATACTAGATACATGAATATATATTCTGCATCTTATATAAAGTCTTAGAACAGGCAAAACTAACTAATGGTGTTAGAAATCAGAAGAACAGAGACTGACTCAGGGGAAGAGGTCACTGACTGGGAAGGAGCACTAAGGAACCACCAGGGTGATGGAAACCACATGCAGGGTGGGTGTGTGGTCACATGCTTATGCAGAGCCCCAGCTGTAGATTTAAGATTGATATATGTTAAGCAGTACTGGACGTATGCTCTACCTCAATTTTTAAAATTTGAAAAAATTAAATTTTTTATCCTTAAACACAATAAAGAAAACGACAGGATAATATTAAGTCCCTTGCCAAAATGGTTTGGGAAAAACCAACTAAGCAATGCATGTTCAATGACTCACAGACAACCTCAAGAATGATGAACCAGTGAAGAACACACCTGGGATATGGGGAGAAGCTGAGCCCCTCATCAAGGCAGGAAAACTGCGGGTCGGAACCGAGTTTGTTCAGATGGTAGCTAGCTACCTTGGGAAACCAGGGATTTGACAACCTTCAAGGAACAATATGATCGCAATCTTCTCAGACATATCTGTCCTAAAGGAAATCTCCAGACCACGGAAATGTCTGGCATTGAAACAAGAGTGCCAAAACAGGAGACATAAGCATGTAGGTCATTTTCTTCTTTATTTATTGTGCTGTACGTCTACTAAATCAGAAGCTAAAGGGATGGGGCCTAGGAATGTATATACAGAAAAGTTCAATTGGTAATACTGATTGATAGTGAAAAAATAAGCATTTGCCAAATTTCCGGCATAAATGACATTTACTGGTGGTATCACATGGACATCCAGAATTTGACTTGAGAAGGGAGGCAATGACCTAATGAATAACAAATATTTTCAGAACAACACCTTAAAAAATGTTTTTGCGGTGTTTTTTTTTTAAAGAAAAATTTTATAAGACTCATGTCAGTAAAAAGTTCAGCTCTGCTGTAAATGCCTTGACATATAAAACCAGGGCCAGGCCTACATACAAGTATATATTTGAGAAAAGAGGGACTTTTACATTGGACTTAATTCCAAACATCGATAGCATCTTTCTGCCCATTGCAAAGCAGGAACCTCAAGGAATGAGAGAGACATCATTTTGCCTTGAGCGTGTGTGTAGCTGTGGGAAGTATGCAGCAAACGGGAAATGTGAACATCAGTTTTCAGGGGGAAGGAAAATCAGGAGTCCAGGGACTCAGATACCACCAGGGAGGTTGCAAAGTCCCAGGAGCTCAGGAAAGCGACTCCAGGAAGTTGTACATGAGTTTCTAGATTCTCTCCTTGGCAGCACTTCTGAGATCTGATTCTAAACATCAGATCAAACACTGAGCAATAAATGAAGACCAGGACCCAAACTAGCCTCTGCAAGGCGTAGACTCAGAAAGTAGCTGAAGAGTAAGGCAAAGCCTTTGAAAACAGAATTGTTGTTAAAACCACAATCCCAAAGTGATTAGTTGGAACTTGTAGCCTCAACCCAAGCAAACTGTCTGCTGTAAAAAAATAAAGATCAATATTCTACAGAACATTTAAACAAAATGAAGAACCAAAATTACTAAACATACAAACAAGGAAAATATCAATTCACAGGAAAAGACAGTCAACAAACATCAATGCCAAAATAACACAGATGTTGGGATGAACTGGAAGAGATTTTAATAGAGCTATTATAAAAATTCTCCAAAAGTAAGGGTGAACTCTTGAAGGGAATTGAAAAAGAAGGTCTCAGCAAAGAAATAACACAAAGTGAAAACAAATGGAAAATTTAGAACAGTAAAGATTTAATAATCAAAAATTTAAAATACATGAGATGGACTAAGTACATGACAGAGTGAACTTTAAGGTAGATCAACAGAAATCATCCAACCTGAACAACAAAGAGATAAAGATTGGCAAAACAAACAAACAAACAAAAAAACCTACAACCTCTCCCCCAAAATAGAGCCTACTAAGAAAAATATATTTGAAGAAATAATGGTTAAACAAACCTCAAATTTGGTGAAAGACATGAACCTTCACATTTGAGAAGCTCAATTTAAAAGAATAGAACATAGACAAAGTGTGCTCTCTGAACATAAAGGAATTTAACTAGAAATCAGTCACAGAAGGATACTATTCAAACACTTGAAAAGTAAACAAAAACTTCTAAACATTCCTGAGTCAAAAGAAGAAGTCTCAGGGTAAACAAAAAAATACTTTGAATTGAAGGAAAATGAAGACACTACACACCAAAATTTGTGGGATGCAACTAAAGCAGTGCACAGAGAGAAAATTACTGTATAAGACTGCTTATATTAAAAGAAAGGTGTCAAATCAAAACTGAAGCAAAATAAGCCCAGAACAAGCAGAAAATAATAAAGAGCAGAAATTAATGAAATTGAAAATCAACAAAGAGAGAAATCAATAAACCAAAAAAAGGTTCTTTGACATTTGCAAAGCCTCTAGCAAAACTGCCAAAGAGCAAAAGACAGAAAGCACAAATCAGACCCTTACCGGGACATAGAAGACAGAAATCAGGAAATGGAAGCAGAAATATCATTATTGATGTCACTAAAAGCTAGTAAGGCAATAATACTAAGTGACTAAGCACACAAATCTGACAACTTATATGAAATGAAGAAATTACTCAAAAAACCACAAACTAAACTCATCCAAAATGAAACAGTTTGAGTAGATCTATGATTATTAGTGAAATGAATTCATAGTTTAAACCTTCCTTAAGAGAAATATTGAAGGCAAATATTTTCCTGGCAAATTCTACCAAAATTTAAAGAAGTAATATCATTTCTACACAATCTTAGAGAAAACAATTAATCAAATTAATCTATCTACATAATAGAGGCATATGCAAATTAGCCCAGACACCATAACATCCTGACCTGAAAACTGGGATCTGAGGCTGCATGGCGCCTGGCCGGGGCGAGGGACCTCAGGCCATGCCCCCACCCCACGGGGCTTGATGGGGGACCTCAGGCTGCACCCCTCCTCCCCCCGCCCCAGCACCGGGCTGAGGGACCTCAGGCTGTGTCCCTTGCCTGGAGGGTCTTGATGGGGACCTCAGGCCATGCCCCCCTACCCCAGTGCCAGGCCAGGGGACCTTAGGTTGCGCCCCTGCCCCCCGCCAGCAGGGCTTGACAGGGGACCTCAAGCTGCACGCCCCCACCCTGGCACCGGGCCAGGGAACCTGAGGCTGAGCCCCCCTACCTGGACGGGCTTGATGGGGGACCTAAGACTGCGCCTCCCACCTGGCACCAGGCTGGGGGACCTGAGGCTGTGCCCCCCGCCTAGAGGGGTTTGACGGGGGTGGGGCCGGCGGGTCTGGGTCTCCTGCATTTTCGAAGTGCATGCGAGTGGTGGGCAGGGACTTGACTCTAGGTCCCGTGGCACACCCCAGACTCTAACAGGAGGGAGATTTTCATATACATTTTACTAATTTTCCTTCATCTCTGACACTTCTATTATAAAGAAAGGGAAAATAGCAATATTAAAATATTTCCTCTAATTAATTCCCTTTTAATGTGCACGAATTTCTTGCACTGGGCCACTAGTAAAATCAATAGTAATCAAGAGTGTGACATTGGCAAAAGGACAAACACTGATCTAAGGATTAGAATAGAGTACAGAACAGACCTACACATATATGTTCAAGGGCATTTTTGACAAAAATACAAAGGCAATTCAACAGAGAAAGGATAGTTTTTTCAACAAATGGTGCTGGAACATCCATATGCAATAAAATTAATTTTTCTCATACCTCACATCATATACAAAAATTCTCAAATCAGATTGTAGACCTAAACGTCAAACTTAATACTATAAAACTTCTCCAAATAAATAGAAAATCTCTCTGACCTTGGGTTGGCAAAGATTTCTTAAATGTGATACCAAAAACATTATCATAAAAAATTGATAAATTTCATTTCTGCTCTTTGAAAAACTATTAGCAAAATGAAAAAGAAGCCATGAAATAGGAGAAAATATCTGCAATAATTCAGATAAAATACTTTGCAGGT